GGGCGAGAGAGCGTTGGCTTGTATGTAGATAAGACTTTTGGCCTCGGCGGAGACCAAAAAAAGAGACAAGGCAAAGAGACAGTCGAGACTACCTTTTGGCCACGGCCAAGGAAAAGATAGAAGTCTAACTAACCCTGCTACGAATTCTGTCCTGCCCACGCCTGCCCCGGTTCATGCGCAGAGCACCGGTCTCTGTCGATGGATGGGCCCATGTGACGAAGCTTATTCCCCTTCCCTCCCATACCTGCTCTTGACTTGTGATGATCCGTGTGCTGCGCCCCCGTCCGATCCCTTCGGCTGGGGCGACGATGATGCTCGCATGGTGGGGGGGGGCATGTTGCAGACGGGGTAAGAGAGGGGACCGGAACCGCGTTTGTTGGGTATGGATCCCCTTCTCTTCTGTACCTCTTTTTCTTTTTCGATGACGCGATGGACGATGGTATGCTCCAAACGCCTGGCGGCCCCTAGTCAGTCGCCCAGTATGCTCAGTGATTCACACTTGGGCTGCCTCCCGCAGAGTGCTCGCGTAAATGCGCGACACGCAATGCGGGACCCTTGGGCTTGAAGTTCGTGGAGAAGAGGGGCACTGCGGGCAGACTTTCGAAATCAAATACATAGTATTACACGCCGGAAAAAAAAAAGGTAAAGCATGATGGACGAGGGGGCGCCGAGTCGGGCACACATGGTCCCGTCCGGGCGAGCGTCCCTTGGGTTCTCTTTTTGGGTCCTGATGGAAGGGAACGAAAGCGGAGCAGGAGGACGGAGGAGGGGAAGGGACGTCGCGTATTGGTGTGGACGTGGGACCCGGGTGGTGGGTTGATGGGCGACGACTTTGGTTTGTGGTGTTGAATTTCTTGAGACAGACATGAAACGGGGGTTGGTCCAGTTTCCCATCTCTCGTCCCAGTGTTATACTCTTTTTTCCTCTTTCCTACTGTTCCCCCGTCCTCATTACCTCTCTCTCTATTTGCTTCCTTCCCGTGTCGTGTTCGCTTGGACCCTGCATGACAAATCCCCCATGTCTGCTGCTACGCTCTGTCGTCTTGAGTTGTGTCTCTTGTGGGCTGTCGTCGTCTGCTGTCGTGCGACCTGCCCCCCCCCCCCCCCCTGCCAGTCCGGTGGATCCTGAATAAGCGTCGAGGCTCTCCCTCTCTCTTCTCTCTCGTACGACAGCGCCCCACCGGCCAACCAATGGAAGGAAGCCAAGCACAGCGAGGCGGATGCCGCAGCCATCAGGTGTTTATCGTTGTTTGGACCGTCCCATCTAGCGACTCTCGCCTACAACACGGGATGAAACATCCTTCTTTTTCGAGCCTGGGTCTCGGATTACGACAACGGATGACCACCGCGATCGCGTGTCGTCCTCCTTCAAGTAGATACCCGAGCCAGCCCCAATATCCACCGTCTGTCGGTAGCCACGTCAGTTGTCAGTTGGGTGACGTGCCGGGTTGGGCAGACGGGTGGGGGCGCGCGCCCGAGCCTGGGTATTTCGAGCTTCACGGGCTGGTTCGTCTTCCCGCCCGTCATTTTTTTATTTGTCTACTGCGATGTCTTGTCTGGCCCAGATGCGGTCGCCGACGCCACCTGCTTCAGGGCGGGCGATCCGGATCACTTCTTGGCCGGAGCTCATTTAGAGTCTGGCTGCATGACACTGAGAGCTCGAATTGCGGACCCGAAGCTACCCAGTCTTACTTTCTGGAGCCCTCCCTCGACCTCGACTCCACTTGCTCTGCTGTGCGGCACAACAACCTCTATTCGCGACCGTCCGAAGAAGGGTTTTGCTCAAGCCTAGCGAGGGCGCGAGGCGAGGACTGCCCGGCCAGCTGCATCCCCAAGGTTGGTTGAGCTGCAAGCTGGCCGATCTACTCGACGTTTGTCACTGACAATCCGCGGATCCACAAGGAAGTGCCGGTGTCAAAGGGTTAGAGGCTTTCCCTCCGCCCTCTCCCTCCCTTCGTTCGTGGTGGAGCGGGTTTGTGGAATGCAAGTTTGAGAAACCCCCTCCAAGATATCTGCACCGGCATGCTCGGATCAAACAGTTGGACCCTCCGCGTCCTTTCCTCTCCCCTCCTCCCCCCCCCCCCCCCCAAGACGGGACGGACGTCAGCCTCGTCGTGCTGGTTGGACACGCAAGGAGGCCTCGCGAGGCGTCGGCGGGGACATGGCAATAAGCTGTTACCATAGCTTCTTCATATGGGACACATAAGAGCAGCGCTATAGCGATGGAGACATCATGTCAATGCCGGCAATGCAGCCCGCAAACTGAGAATGTTTCCGGAGAGGACCAGGCCAGCGTGTTGGCATGCGCTGTGCGGATGCTCGTCGGTGCTTCTTGTGGCGGTTGGTTGAGGACCGCGTGAGCGAGTGAGAGGGAGAAAGAGAAAGCAAAAGCAAAAGCCTGTGCCTCGTCGCATCAAGCAACTCTGGTCCCAGGGTCATCCCGTGCTGGAGCGTGAGAAACGTCCGAGCCCGCAAAGGTTGGGCCATCAGAAGGATTTGGAGCCTTCATTCTGGCGGTACCGAGGCGTTCCCGATGTAGGCGAGTGAGCAACCGTCTCGTGTTCCTGCAGCTCGATGACGATGGCGCCGCTCCCTCAGCATGCGCGCTCGAGTAATGGACGATGCCGCGCGCGGTGCGGATTCGGACGTGGGGAGGAGATGGGGACGTACGATGTACAAAAAGGGGGAGAGGGAGATTGATTAAGGTATCCGTACATGCGCTACAGAAAGACGCCGCACGGGCGAGCAGATGGGGGCCTGTCAAGCCGATTTGGGCGAGATGATTCGCTGCGTGGCCATCCCTCGCACATGCTGCCGCGCCAGGGTTGCAGACCTGACAAGTGAGGGTGGCCAGGGTCGGTGTTGTATTGGGTGGGCAAGAGCTGAGACAGGAAAAAATCCCGACATCAAGCAAGAGCGTTTGGCAGGCTGGGCGGTTGGGGGTAACCACTACGGTGGGAGGAGGAGGAGGGGTCCTGGCGGGCAACGGAGGCCGAGAAGACTGCTACGGCCGACACGGCAGGAACGGCACACCCGAGATATCGCAGTTCATACCATCTTGGACGTGATGGGCCGAGGGGGGGGAGAGAGAGGGAGAGAGAGGGAGAGAGAGAGGGAGTGAAAGAACGAAAGAAAGGAAAAAGAAGAGAGAGTTCCCAACTGGGAGTAGGTAGCGGTTCACCATGCTTCTCTCTGGAAGCCTCCCCCCTGACAAGATCTAGATCCATGACCTCACCCCTCCTTTCCATCGCATGGTGGCTTTCGCGACGTCGTTCAAGTGCCGCCCCATGATTCGTGGTGAATGCCGTCGAGTGGCCAGGACACGCCGGGCGCGGTCGCAGCTGGGGAGTTGGGACGAAGAGAGCCATGTAGGTATGGTGACGGATGGATCATGACTGGCCGGGACTTTAATCATTGCAGCTCCGTGACACCACCACCAAACACAGGTGCTGATGGGGGGAATGTGTGAGGCGGTGGCTGTTGAGATGCTCCCCTATGGAACGGCGTGGCATGGAGATGGCAACCCGGTGCAGCTGACGGGAAGAAGAAACCCAAAATAGTAACTGGCTTATTGGGCGAGTTGCAAGAAAACGTGGCAAAAGAAAAGCGAGCCGCGAGCTACCTACATGAGATGCGGCGCAACGTGGACGGGTGCCTTGGGGGGGGGGGGGGGGGGGGGGGGGGGGGGGGGGGGGGGGGGGGGGGGGGTGGTCATGAGCTTGGCCAATGGCCGTCGAGTCTCGCTCTCCCATTTTCTCAACATTCGTCCTCTCGTGGCCATCCCTGTTCATCTCGAGGTATTCAGTTTCTCTTACGGTTTACCTGTGGCCTGTGGAGCCCGCGTCCTCCACTCCTCCGGCCCGGCGCAGCATCCTAGGCCTTGGTGTCCCCCTGGTCTCCCCCTCCCCCCTCTTGCTTCCCCCGTCCACCCATCCCCCAGTCCCGATGGGAGAGTGCCCAAAGCCCCCCCCCCCTCCCTGAGCTACGCCCCTCGCTGACCAATGCTGCTACCAGTGTCACTGCAAGCACACTGACGGACAAGTCTGCAATTCTGTAACGCCTTTTGCCCCTCCCAGGTCGTAGGTACGAGGAAATGCCCACCAGGGGGGAAGGCAGAGAAGAGGTAAGGTACCTTGAGTCTATTATGTGATGCCGCAATTCTGCTCTTTTGTTCATCTTCCTCCGTCCCATCATTTTTTCTACCCATTTTCTTCTCTTCTTTTTTTTCCATCTTTCCTCCACAGTCGACCTCTCGGACGTCTGAACGTGATACCCCTCCCCTCCCCTTCGCTTTTTTGTCTCTTCATCGCCAGGTTGGAATCTCTCTACATCTCCATCGCTCCTGAATCAACGCAGCTCAAATCCCACGCCAGCTGCTCGAGTCACTCACGCTACGATCATCCAGAGCCGACCAGCTCTCTCTCTCTCTCTCCCTCATAGCTACCGCATCAAACTAGACGAGACCAGCTCCAGCTCCACCAGAGGGAGTTCTAGACCAGACCCAAAACGAAGAGCTTCGGACTCTCGCTTCTCTCTGGCCCGCCGCGGTACCTTACAGATACACATCCACACTCGGCGTTAATAAGCCAACCCAAGCCACCGCATTTGCCGAGCGAATGACAGGAGCCATCCCGCTGTCGCTACGCTAGCTTGTCTCGCGCTACCACCTCTGCTTGCAAATACCGTGACAGGTCGACTCGGTTTAGGTCCTTTTTTTCGTCCGTTGCAATTCCTCGAAACCCCCCAATCGTCTTCCCCTCCGCTCCAGCACATCCGGTCTCTGGCCACGCCCAACGCTCTCTCGTCGCGCTCACGACCCCGTCGACGACGCTCCGACGCTTGTCCGCGCTCTCCGGGTTTTCTCACGTAACAGTGTAATCTCCCCCGGACCCGACACCGCCTTCATCTCACGAGAGTGACCCTCGGTGAACGCCGGCCAATTCTGTCCAAAATGGACCATATGGGCTTTCAGATGCCTCACATGGGGGGCCCGCCCCCATGATGAACCAGCCGCCTCAGATCTTTGGAGCCTATACCCCTGACGGCATGCCCGTTCAGCACATGCCCCCCGACCTCGCCGCCCACATGTTTGGCGACCCCTCAACGCTCCTTGACGATGCCAACGAGGCAAAGAGGAGAAGAATCGCGAGGGTAAGTGACCTAAAGCGGTCGCCGGAGGAATCCTGGCGGCTCCCTGTGTAAGAGCAGAACGCTTACGCCTTTTGCGCGCAGGCTTGTGACATGTGTAGGAAGAAGAAGATCAAGTGCGACGGCAAGCTGCCCGCCTGCAGCCACTGCATAAACTACAAGACGGATTGCGTCTTCACCCAGGTCGAGAAGAAGCGCAACCCTCCAAAGGGGTACGCCCGGCTTGCAATGTTCCCGCCCACTTTCGTGACATCCGGCTAACAGACCACCAGAGCCAAGTACATTGAAGGACTCGAGAACCGCCTCGGTCGCATGGAGAACCTCCTGAGGCTTTCGGGTTTGTAGCCCCCAGCCGCGTAACCTCTGGCGTAGGCTAACCCGTCGTGTAGGTCTCCTAGGTGAAGACGATGATGGTGACACGGATCTCGGCACCCTCGAAAAGCGCTTGGCGGAGAAGCAGCAGCAGCAGTCGAGACAGGCCTCTCAAGCTGTGTCCAATCCGACCTCACCGTCGCAGGCAACATCAGGGCAAAACGAGAACATGTCGACAACGCCGCAGAGCGCCGTGACATCGCCTGAATCAAGCAAGGATTCCAACAAGGAGCCCAAGGACGGCAGCAAGCATAGGGCCTCGGTGTCCGAGGAGAAGGACAACGAAGAAGAGGTCGAGGCACTATCCGAGCTCATGTGCTCTCTGGTTACGAACCAGAGTGGTGAGACCCGATACATCGGCTCCTCCTCTGGGTTTTCCATCTTTTCCCCCAAGGGAATTCAGTGGGTGAACGAAAAGACGGGCGACAACTCCTTTCAGCAGATGATTTCCGAGGTATCGCTTGACGACCACAAGTGGACCGCCTGGAAGCCCGAAGTCTTCAGCGATCTCTTCCGCCGCCCTATTTTCCGACCTTTGCCTCCCAAGGCCGAGGCGTTGTCTCTGCTCAAGGACTTTTTCGAGAACTTTAACTGCATGTTCCCCTTGTTCCACCAACCTACCTTCATGCATCTGGTCGAGCGACAGTATTCCGATGACCCTTACGAGGGCACCGGCTGGTGGGCGAGTTTGAACTGTGCCTTGGCTTTCGCTCACCGCCTGCGTGTCATGAGCAACCTCGTGCCGCAAGAGGAAGACGACAAGGCCTGGGGGTACATCAAGAACGCTCTGGGAACTTTTGCCGAGTTGACGATGCGCAACACGGATTTGCTGAGTGTGCAAGCCTTGCTCGGAATGGCGCTCTTCATGCAAGGAACACCGAACCCTCAACCCACCGTCCTCCTCGTCGCCACGGCCATTCGGCTCGCCCATACCATCGGCCTACACAAGCGCGGAACGGGTTTCAACCTCAACCCCATCGAAATCGAACAGCGAAAGCGAGTTTTCTGGATTGCGTACATGCTGGACAAGGACCTGTGTCTTCGGGCGGGCAGGCCGCCGGCGCAGGATGACGACGACTTGAATGTGGAACTGCCCGACGCCGATCCGGAAGACAACATCGGCAACATTCCGCTGGCTGAAAACAAGGGCAAGATGAACCTGTTCAGGGTGATGTGCGAGTTTGCGACCATCGAAAGCAAGGTTTACTCCCGGCTCTACTCGACCAAGGCCACTAAGCAGTCGAGCGGAGAGCTCCTGAACACCATCGGAGAGCTGGACCAAGAGCTCGAGGAGTGGAAGGACAGGATTCCGATCGACTTCAGACCGGAGCACGAGATCAGGGCGTCGCATACGCCTCTACTTTTGCACGTCGTCATGCTTCATCTGGCCTACTACAACTGCCTGACGACAATCCACCGCATGTCCGTCCACCACGGCTACTGGACAAGTCGCCTGTCCAACTACGCCATCCAGGGTCTTAATGCCAAGCCCCTGAACCCGCGTGTCTTCTCCTCTGCGGCTCTTTGTACTGCCGCTGCCAGAGCGTCGATTTCGCTTCTGAAGTACATGCCGCAAGGAGACTCTCCGAGTGTCTGGTACGTAGATCACTTTCTTTTGTGTGCTTTTGGACCCTTTGGCTAATTCTGCTTCACAGGCTGATTCTGTACTTCCCAGTGTCGGCATTGATGACGCTGTTTGGGAACATTCTACAAAACCCCATGGACCCCAGGGCCAAGTCCGACACGAGGTTGATGAACTTGGTCGTCAACTTCTTGTCAATGCTGGGGCAAGAAGCCGAGACGGGCGGTGTTCATCGTATGCTGGGTGTTTGCTCCGAGTTTGAGAGGATAGCCAAGCTCGTCATCGAGAAGGGGGAGAAGGAGCAGTCCTCGCGCAGGAAACGAAAGAGCGACGCCGCTACAAAGTCGACGTCAAGTCCTACCGCAACAAGTCACACCCCTCGACCGACGTCAGTGACAACGCCAACCCCCCACAGCATGCACGCGGCGAACACCCCTTCGGCGACAAACGGCCAGCTATCGCCCGATTTCAACGGCGAGGCCAACCGCCGGAGGCACGGCTTCAGCCCCATGCAGACAACGTCGATGCGAGAGCCATCGCCGGCTCTGCCGTCCGCTGGCTGGCCGCAAGAGTTCAACATTCCCGACCAGGCGAGCTTTGGCAACTTTGCAGAGATGACAGGATTCGGAGGGCCCAATAACCCGCGCTCGCCACCGGTGAACATGGGTGCGCCGTTCCAGCAACCCCTGTTGCCTCAAGACTTGTTCTCGCTTCCCATGACGCTCGACTGGGACTGGGCTGAGATGAGTGGCGGCGCTTACCCGACTGTGGAGAACGGCAACGTTGGCTGAGACACGATTGTATCTACGAGTGTGAGGCGCCGAGATGTTGGAATAGAACCGGATGTCGCGATGCATTTATGGGCAGGATCAAGGCTGCATAATGTGCATATGAGACGAAGTCACGAACTTTTAACGCATGTATGAGTAATTGGCCTGCTTGAGGCGGGAAGTTGTGTGACGGCTCTAGAGCCTGAAGAGAAACTGGCGCACGATGTCGTGTACTACCATAGAGTGGTGAAATACGTGCACAACGGATCAAAATAAACTCTGGATGACTGGGTCATTTACTACGTTCCACATGGTTCTCCATTATACAGTGAGAAACGGCTGCTGCTCAAAGGGCGAACGACTAACTGAACAGTTGCAATTGAACGAGCATAATAACTGAAAGCCCGCCAAATTCATCCACACTGAAAGCGTATGTACAGAGACAACAGCCTGGAGTTACGATGGAACCCATGCGGATACCCCTCAGACCCTGGAGGTCGACTCGTCGCACGGCTCGAATCCAAGTGTCATTCATTATCGGAGTTTGCGGCGGGAAGGGTCCTTCTAGCCGAGTAGGGGGCGGAGCGGTAAGAGTGGGTTCCAGACCTTACCTGTCTTAAAGGCATGGCTGTGGTCGGAGTTTGACAGTCACGTGCACCCGCTAAAATCTCGGCCGGCGGCGATGGGGCCCGACATGAACTCATCACTATGGGAGCTTTTGCCATCGTCCAGTCATCCCGGGAAAGCCTGGTCCCATTACCAACCACACTCTCTGTACGAATATTCCCACCACCGCTGCAAACTCCCCGCGGCTGGTGCTCCTCATCGCCACCAGAATCCCATTGACTCTTTTTTCCTTTTCCGTGCCCGACCACCGTCCAGACAATCAGCAGGGCGCATCAATGAGATAGCACATCGCTACACGCGGTGAATACTACTCCTACTCGGCACCGGTCGTCCCGCCTCGTCACCCCACGACGCACACAACACAATGGCGAGGTTCCTACGCCAGTCGGCGCAGCTCGCGCGAGCTGTAAGGCTCGCGCAGCAGCCCATCACACGAATGCGATTCCAGCCGTCGAGAATAGCACGACTCGGCCCGCAAGCTCCGCTAGCTTGCTATCGATCGCGGTTCTACTCGACCAACGGGCCCCAGCCCCCGAAGAATGAAAAGGACCCCAACGAGAAGAAGAAGCCCGAGGAGGAGCAGGACCCGGCCAAGCCCCAGCTGTCCAAGGAGGAGCAAATACGGAAGGACTGGCCACTGCCCGAAGGGTGGGTGTACCTCAACGAGGAGGAGCTCGGCATGCTGCTCAAGATGGCCGAGAACGACAGGCTACCCAAGTTCCAGAAAGACTTTTTTATCAAGAGCGTGGAGGAGATGAAGCTGCTCGGAGCTCCCAAGGAGCTGCGGGACCTCCTGGCGACGCTGAAGGAGCGCAAGCTGAAGATGACGGTTACCGACATTGCCAAGATCCTCCGCGTCTCGACGCAGGTCGCAAAGAGGTTCTCCGAGTACGAATCGACCGTGCTGATGCGCGAGGAGCAGGAGGGCAAGGAAAAGCAGGATGGCGCCAAGGACTCGCAGCAGGGCAAGGAGCAGAAGGAGGGACGCAATAACCAGGAGAACAGCGAGGGCGGACCCACCGGGCCCGGCGGCAAGAGATGGATCTTTGGCATGCTCAGCACCGGCGACCTGGTTGTGGCCGCCATCGTCTGGATCGTCGTTCTGCCGTTCTTTGAGTCGATGATCTTTGGCCAGGAGAAGGAGATTACATGGCAGGAGCTGCGGAGGAACTTCTTGGACAAGGGTCTGGTCAACAAGCTCGTGGTCATCAAGAACCCCGGCCGCGTCCGTGTTGAGCTGAACCGCGAGGGTGTGCAGTCGGTCTACGGCGGAAACGAAGGCATCAACCCCAACGTCCAGTACTACTTCTCCATCGGCTCGGTGGAGATGTTCGAGAAGCAGCTCGAGGAGGCTCAGGCCGAGCTCGGCATCCCGACGTCAGAGCGCATCCCTGTCAGCTACGCCAGCGAGGGCGGCATCATGCCCTTGGTCTACGCCTTTGGTCCTACTCTCCTCCTGGTCGGTCTCTTGTACTACACGACGAAACAAATGGGTGGCCGCGGAGGTAACCAGATGTTCGGGTTCGGCAAGAGCAAGGCCAAGAGATTCAACCACGAGACGGCAATCAAGGTCAAGTTCAGCGACGTTGCCGGCATGGACGAGGCCAAGACGGAGATTATGGAGTTCGTCAGCTTCTTGAAGACCCCCGAGCGCTTCGAGAGGTTAGGCGCCAAGATCCCCCGCGGTGCTATCCTGGCTGGACCTCCCGGAACTGGTAAGACGCTGCTTGCCAAGGCCACTGCCGGCGAGTCCGGCGTGCCCTTCTTCAGCGTCAGCGGTTCCGAGTTCGTTGAGATGTTCGTCGGTGTTGGTCCTTCCAGAGTCCGCGACCTGTTCGCGACGGCACGCAAGAACGCACCTTGCATTATCTTCATTGACGAGATTGACGCCATTGGTCGGTCGAGACAGGAGGGTAACCGCATGGGCGGCAACGACGAGCGTGAGGCTACCCTGAACCAGATCCTCACCGAGATGGACGGTTTCAACACCCAGGAGCAGGTGGTGGTGCTCGCGGGCACCAACAGAGCCGACATCCTCGACAAGGCCCTGATGCGCCCCGGCCGTTTCGACAGACACATCTTTATCGACCGCCCGACGATGAAGGGACGCCAGGACATCTTCAAGGTGCACCTGGCCAAGGTCGTCACCAAGGAAGACATGGACCACCTCACTGGCCGTCTGGCTACGCTTACCCCCGGCTTCTCCGGTGCCGATATCGCCAACGCCGTCAACGAGGCTGCCCTGGTTGGTAAGTTTTGTCGAATTCTCTCGTTACGGGACAACGTGCTAACCCCTCGCAGCCGCCCGTGCCAACGCCGAGTCTGTGGAGATGATCCACTTCGAGCAGGCCATTGAGCGTGTCATTGGAGGTCTCGAGCGCAAGTCTCTCGTTCTCAACCCCGAGGAGAAGAAGACGGTTGCCTACCACGAGGCCGGCCACGCCATCTGCGGTTGGTTCCTCAAGAACGCCGACCCTCTTCTCAAGGTCTCCATCATTCCCCGCGGACAGGGTGCACTGGGTTACGCCCAGTACCTGCCCCAGGGAGACGCCTACCTCATGACCGTCCAGCAGCTGATGGACCGCATGGCCATGACGCTGGGTGGACGTATTTCCGAGGAGCTCCACTTCCCCACCGTCACGACGGGCGCCAGCGACGACTTCCGCAAGGTCACTCACATGGCGCGCAAGATGGTGACCCAGTGGGGTATGTCGGAGAAGGTCGGCCCCCTGCATTTCGACGACGACCCGAACACCCTGCAGAAGCCCTTCGCCGAGGCCACGGCGCAGGCCATCGACGCCGAGGTGCACAGGATCGTGGAGGAGGCGTACAAGCAGTGCAAAGACCTGCTGACGGAGAAGAAGGCCGAGGTCGGCATCGTGGCGGAGGAGCTCCTCAAGAAGGAGATGTTGACGCGCGACGACCTGGTCCGCCTGCTCGGACCCCGGCCCTTTGGCGACAACCAGGAGTTTGAGAAGTACTTTGGCGGCCAGGGCCAGAAGAGCGCGCCGCCGCCGTTCCCCGCCGAGGAGATCGACAACCCTCCAGAGAACCCCCCCGTTCCCCCTACGCCAACATTCAAGAGCCTCGACGATGCGCCAAGGAGATGAGACCGTGGATGAGAGGAGGTGTGGCGCGCGGGCCGAACATGTTGATAGGAACGTTTATTTTGGATTCTCCCCTTGCATGAGGTTATCACATGGGAGGATCGCTTTCCACAAACAACAAGACCCGGACCAGCGCCGGCAATTGTAATTTTCACTTTCCTTTTTCCACCAAAAAAACAAAGGCTCTCAACTCTGCTTTCATGGCGGCTGTGTTACTAGTAGAGGCATCACCATCGGCGGCCGGAGTAGAACGGGACTTGAATATGTACTTGTAGGACTGTAGATACACTCTAGCTTGACTCTCTCGAAAAATACCGAATCGCCCTGCAGAGGGATCAAAGACGATGGGACTACGGTGTCGGTACTGCGGTCATGTGTGCTGTGATGATTGACTTGTTGTGGGAAGTGGCATGGTCTGGGGGTCCTTGGCGGATGTTGACGCGGGGTGTGTTTAGGCCGCGACTGGTCTAGTGTTTTTGATGCGGTTGAGGACTTCACGGAGGACTTACGAACGGCGCGGCCAAGGACGATACTGCCTCAGTAAAGAGACGATTGCTGATTCTGGGACTGGACTGAAAGATCGTGCACATAAGATAGGCTTGTCTGAGGCTTGCTTTGGCCGCTGTTGTGCGTTTGACTGCAAGCTCAAGCGAGTACCAATTTGAAATGATAATCAAAGGTGAGACCGTGAAGCTGCGAAGGCCGTCTTGATAGTTAGACGATGTTGAGCACCAAAGCAACACCAAAGTCTCCATATCTGTGTCGAAGCTGAAGTCAAACTGATGACAAGTGGCGAGCGGCGATGCGCTACGTAACGGTGATGAATCTGGCTTGGTATCGCAATGAGGCGCCACGCATTAGCGGTGCTGGGTACAACAAAGAGTTCGTTGACCCATCTCGCTAGCTTCCCTTCACCTCATCTCACCAAACCTCGTTTGCCCTCAGCCATGAGAGCCTCACAATAGTGAAGCCATACAAGCTCGTCAATGGCTTTGCCGCTACCAAATGGCCTACTAAACTGCCGTTTTGAAGACTTGAGAGCTGACCAGATCGGGGAGTTCTCGCTACCCCATGTGTCTGGATTTTTCCAATTGAGTAATTAGCGTCGCCGGCGGCCGGTTGCTTCAGTCGGTTCGAAAAGAGCTGACAATCTGGTCTGATATATGGCAATTGAGTATGTCTAATGACCTCCAACCCCATGGCCGTCCTTGATGCCTCGGACTAAGTGGTAGACTTTCGGCTGTTCATGTAAATTGTAATGACGTTTAAGACGGCTTTCTATCGACTACGTAGGTGAGAGATTAAGGTATAAGTGAAGGCTGCGAATAAGCAGAGTACAGAAGATCGGTCAATTACTGTCTCTGGACGCCAAGTTGAAGACCCAGGCCTACAACCTGAAGTCTTCTTTTCTCCGCCAATACATCTCACCTGAGGATGCGCCCGACGCTTCGCTAGCGTGGTCCCATCAGCCAATACGTCAGTCCTCCTACACCCTATCCCCGGGATGCTTGACGTGGTTTACACAGTAAATATTGAGCAGCACCGAGCACGGGGGACGCGAGCCAGAGCTAGAGCGGTGGTGCTGACTAACTCCACTAGCAGACAGGTTGCCGCTGTACATGTCATTCGTCCATCTGAAGTTTGAGAGTCCGTCGCAGCCCAAGGATGCTACCGAAGAACAGAATCGATGGGCAGCTCTCTTGGCATCGAATCGTGTTCGCCAAAGTCGAACCACAGTGAGACATTTAAGGCCTTGTTGAGATCGTCAAAGGCTTGCGACCGAAAGTTCACTTCTCTCTGCCCAAGCAGAATTTTGCCGCTCTCGGCCAATGAATCCGTCCGCTTTCCCAAGATTCCAGAATTCCATGATGACAAGACCGGGGTGTGCCGGGTGGGTAGTAGTTAGGAAACTATCTCCAACAGTGTTGGAGGTAACAAGATGCACGTGGCGACTCTTTGCATCAGCGGGCTGCTGACTCGAGGCGGTGACGGTAGCGAAGCGGGAGGCGACCAACGACGGGAGATCATTTAGGGGAACACTACCATCTTCCGTCATGCCTGCGTTCTCCGGCATGCCCTCGTGTGATGCGACTCTTGGACTCGGATAACCTCCCGCCTTTTGCGATTTACACGTCTCAAGATTAAACGGTTTCTGTAGTGGAGCGCAAGAGAGTGCTTCCAAGGCGGGGCCGGGTCTTTGATTTCTTGCCCTCTTACGAGCCAATCTCGATTGAGCATTGCGTCGAAAACCCCCTGTCGAGTTGCGCCGTTCCCTGCCATTTTTACCTTTCTCATTGCACTTCATTCCTCCTGCGGTCCTCCGATACCCACACAACCATCCCCGTCGACTTTCCAGAGTCGGTCTTGAACGTGCCTTTCTTTCCGTCATTGAGAGGGACCTTGTGGCCGATCAAGAACTCGACTTACAGCTTTTAAACACAACCACATCCCGCCTCTTTGGGGGCGAGCCAGGAGCCAAGGAGGAGTTTACTTTCGCACATTATCAACAGAGTCGCCCGCCGATTGTTTCGATAATAGGACATTTCTTGTCGACATGATCGTACACTTGGCTTTACTCGCGTATCGTTGAAGTTTTTTTCTTGTTTTGTTGTCTTGCTGTGTTCAGTTATTGCGCATTCATTTTTGCCGCTCTACGAAAACATCGCCTCCACGAAAGCTTTCGTCTTCTTGCGGTTGACGAGGTATAGCAACAGTAGGGCAACGGCTTGGATACTAATACCCTACTTCGCTTGAACGACTCTCGGTTCGACAAATATGGCTCCCAGCCCTGACGAAAAGTCGGTCTTACCGGCGCGCCGCCCTTCACCAGGCAGCCAGAACGCCACCCGGGCCGACGTCAACGGCAACGGCCACAGGAGCAGCGCCCGCGGTGCCGGCTGGTGGAAGGTGAAGCTGTTCCGCGGCATGGTCAACGACATTCGCCGCCGGGCCCCCTTTTACATGAGCGATTGGATCGACGCCTGGGACTATCGTGTGGTGCCGGCAACGGTCTACATGTATTTTGCAAAGTACGTAGTGGTTTTGTGTTGTTTTCTTCGTTGCCCCCTTGGATAGAGATCACTTCTCCATCTGCTCCTAGCCTGCTGCCTCTATTGGCCTGCGCCTTTCTGGTTCAATCATTGTCGCTCGTTGCCCCTATATAAGTCGCGACCACAAGCAAATGTGGAAGACTAACATACCCAACTTGCAGCATTCTACCCGCTTTAGCCTTCTCCCTCGACATGTTCACGAGTACGGGCTCAACGTACGGCGTCAACGAGGTCCTACTGGCCTCCGTCCTCGGCGCCGTGGTCTTCTCGCTGCTGGCGTGCCAGCCCCTGGTCATTGTCGGCGTCACCGGCCCCATCACCGTCTTCAACTATACCGTGTACGATATCATTAAGCCAACGGGCATCAACTACCTTGCCTTTATGTGCTGGATCGGGCTGTAAGTGCCAGCCCCCCAGCCCCCTTAATGAGGTGTCGACTCACAATGACTCTAGATGGTCCCTGGTATTCCACTGGATCTTGGCCATCACCAACTCGTGCAACTGGCTACGCTACGTGACGCGCTTCCCCTGCGACATCTTCGGCTTCTACGTCGCCTTCATCTACCTCCAAAAGGGCATCCAGGTGCTCGAGAGGCTGGGCGACGCCGAACCCTTCTACCTCTCCATCGTCGCCTCGCTGCTCGTCTTCATGGTCGCCTACGCCTGCGCCGGTCTCGGCGGCAGCGGTCTGTTTCACCACCACGTGCGCACCTTCCTCAAAGACTATGGTACGCCTCTCACTCTCATCTTCTTCACCGGCTTCGTCCATATTGGCAGGATGAAGCCCGTCCATCTGGAGGTGCTCCCGACCGGCATTGCCTTCATGCCGACAGCCGACAGGAGCTGGCTTGTTGACTTTTGGAACATCAATGTCGGAGACGTCTTTCTGGCCATTCCATTTGCCATTTTGTTGACCATCCTGTTTTGGTTTGACCACAATGGTACGAGTCCCCATTCCCACCTTTAACCATATTAGGATATGACTGACGCGAGAGCAGTCTCTTCTCTCATTGCACAGGGAACCGAGTTCCCCTTGAAAAAGCCAGCCGGGTTCCACTGGGACCTTTTCCTGCTCGGCCTGACGACCGGTGTTGCCGGCATCCTGGGCCTGCCTTTCCCCAACGGCCTCATCCCTCAGGCCCCGTTCCACACGGAATCCCTGACGGTCAAAAAGTCTTACGCCGAAATGGACGAGAAGGGTGAGTTCAAGGGCAGCTACGTGATCAAGGCCTCCCACGTCGTTGAGCAACGAGTCTCGAACCTGGCCCAGGGCCTTCTCACGCTCGGCACCATGACGGGCCCCTCCTCGTCGTCCTGCACCTGATCCCCCACGGCGTGCTGGCCGGCCTCTTCTTCGTCATGGGCGTCCAGGCGCTCGAGGGCAACGGCATCACGCTCAAGATCCTCTTCCTCCTGCGCGACAAGAACCTGACCCCGCCGGGGCACCCCTTGAAGCAGATCCGCCGCCGCCGCGCCATCTGGGAGTTCGTCGCCGTCGAGCTCATCGGGTTCGGCGCCACGTTCGCCATCACCCAGACTGTCGCGGCGGTCGGCTTCCCCGTGTTCATCATGCTTCTCATCCCCATCCGCGCCTGGCTGCTGCCGCGGTGGTTCTCGCCCGAGGAGCTGAACGCGCTTGACGAGCCCACGGCATCGCCTTTCACCATGGAGGGCATTGGCGGGGCGTACGGCGCAGGGGACATGGGCGAGGACTCGGACGACACGCAGGTGTCTGGGTACAGCTATGGGGAAACCCACGCCAGCAGGCTGGAACCGCGTAATAGTGAGGGCGTCCTTGCGTCGGCTGCTGCGCCGGGGAGGAGTCGAGAAGATGTGGCGGAGCTGGGGCAATCTCGGAGTGTGGAGAGTGTGAACCAGACTACAAGAAGGGGTGGCCACGCTGCCACAGCTGACTGATGATGCTGGAGAGAGGCCCAATGTTGGTGAACACATACACATACCATTGAGTAGAGGACATAATATGTAAATAGATAACATCTTAGAAATACATAACCGTCTAGGTTGGCTTCAAGCACTTTTGAAGCAGCAGGTGCCAAATGATTTTCAGCGTCGAGAAGTATCACGTTCAGGGAATCAAACATACCTAGTTGACTGGCTGTTCGAATTTCCGGGCCAAAAGCACAAAATCACGCCCCGATTGTTCACTCACTGAATTGACAAATCGAATATGGGTGATGTAGCATTCGAAATCGGTGTTCGCTCGTTATACATACAAACTGCACAGTTATGCAGAGACTTAATGCTTGAAGCGCCTACAGAGTCCTTCTCTGATTAAGCCGGGGGGCTTCGTATTCGACAGCGGTATCTTTCGAGCCACTTGATTCTGGGCTGGCTGCCCTATCAATGTATGGCTATCATTAGGCCAAAAGCTTCTACACAACCTTACCTTGTTGAGATGTTCGTTAAGACGATCTCGCAAGTATTACTACAGATATTCTCTGTCACCATTTGGCCGCTGTCAGCTCTCCCACTTCTGATTAGCAGTCAGTTAATAGCTAAAAGCAGGGCATCCCCCATTTTCTGACCAGCACAATCCACTCGAAAAGCAGCGAGTAATGTGTTAATTTGGTGATAATGATCATCTGTGTATTGTTTGCTGTATGTATGTCTACCCATAGATACTGCCGAGAAGAAATGGTACGGTCTTTCGTGTCTCCCGAGAAAGCTTAAGCCTTAAACTGTAGAGTTAACGATATGTGTTGTTGAACCTATCTAGGTTCCCAAGGCTGTCACCACCTGGGTACCTCTGATCCGAACCCTTCATTCTGACAAGATGTAAGGTCCGCAGTCTATTCCCGCGTTCTGGAAGCTAGGAACAGCTTACTTAACATCGTTATTCTATCGTCTCCCCATTTTCATGCTCATCTTCTACACTTGTCCTGCCAAACCGATAGACAATGGTTGGTATCGAGGGTAGCTCTATTATCTAGGCGACCCATGATCAAGACTCGGGGCTAGGTCTCCGGAGAACGTATCTGCAGTGCAGTCCCCATCCCCAAACCGAGGCTTTTGTATCCTTCCATGTAACGAAGGCTTGGCTCAAGGCAAACAAGGAACTGAAACTTGACCGCACCGCCGAGTCGCAGCCTTCACAGAATCTGGTCAGTCGTAAACAGCAGTTGGCACATAACGATGTCTATTTGATTTCTCGTCAAGTCATGATTCAATTCTCATGGAGATCGCTCTGGCTCATAATCTGAAAATGCCTATTAACCCCATTTTCGGTCACATTTAGAGAGGATGCACATGTATTATTATCCTATTACTGAGTCTCTTCTATGGAAGAAAGGCTGTGAGACTCTGACCGAATTCCTTCCAACTCCTCTTTCCATCTTGAGAGGGCTGAGATGGAAAACTTTGTATCCGGATGGTCCGCACCGAGGCGCTGCTGCCTGTGGTGTGCGCAGTTCTGCATTAACCTAACCGCGTCGTCCCATCGTTCTTGGCATTTCCAGGTGTATGCTAGGTTGGCCATACTGCTCAACGTATCAGGATGCTCTTCTCCTAGTACCCTCTTCTGTATCTCCATCACCTGTACCCCTAGCTCTTCTGCCTCTTCCCATCTGCCCTGATTTCTATACGTTACCGCTAAGTTAGCTATACTATGTAGCGTAAAAGGGTGCTCTTCTCCTAGTACCCTCTTCTGTATCTCCATCACCTGTACCCCTAGCTCTTCTGCCTCTTTTAACCTGCCCTGATTTCCATACGTTAACGCTAAGCTGGCTATACTACGTAGCGTATCAGGATGCTCTTTTCCTAGTACCCTCTTCTGTATCTCCATCACCTGTACCCCTAGCTCTTCTGCCTCTCCCCACCTACCCTGATGTACATACGTGAACGCCAAGTTAGCTATACTGCGTAGCGTATCAGGATGCTCTTTTCCTAGTACCCTCTTCTGTATCTCCATCACCTGTACCCCTAGCTCTTCTGCCTCTCCCCACCTACCCTGATGTACATACGTGAACGCCAAGTTAGCTATACTGCGTAGCGTATCAGGATGCTCTTTTCCTAGTACCCTCTTCTGTATCTCCATCACCTGTACCCCTAGCTCTTCTGCCTCTCCCCACCTACCCTGAGTTCTATACGTTAACGCCAAGTTAGCTCTACTGCCTAGCGTATCAGGATGCTCTTCTCCTAGTACCCTCTTCTGTATCTCTATCACCTGTACCTCTAGCTCTTCTGCCTTTTCCCGTCTGCCTTGATGTTTATAAATTGTCGCGAGGCCGATCAAACCGCCTAACGTAGCACAATACTCTTCTCCTAGTACACTCTTTCTCATCTCCATAACCCGCACATTCAGCTCTTCTGCCTCGCCCCCCCTACCCTGACCCACAAAAGCTGACGTCAAGTCGGCTATACTAACGAGCGTCAAGGGGTGCTCTCCCCCAGCCTTTCTTTTCGCAGCTTTAGAAATTGTGCTATACTCTGCTCAGCGACTTTCCATTGGCCAAGATAAATGAAATAGCCAGCAATGTGGTACAAAAGATGTGCCCTCGAGATGTCGCTATCCTTTGAACTAGTTGCCTTGATCCGAAGTAGGGCGTTCGCGTGTGGAAGGTAATCCCGACAAATATGTTGACTTTCGTATTTGCAATACGGATATACATCAGACAAAACCTCGAGAGCCTGTTCAACATACCCAGCTAGTCTGCCGTAAATTTCGAGCCATTTTCGAGTGACTAGCTGCACCAGCCGGTGCATGTCGACTGTGTTGTCCTTTGCCTCCGATATAAAGGAGAACGCCTTGAGAGTGCCTAAAGCTTTTGTCACTTTGGCTGTGCTGATACGTTGTCCTGAACTGTTCTTGTTGCAGAATTCCATTATGAACTTCTCGGGAATTCCTTGGCGGTCTAGGAGACTGATGAAGGACAAGATGTCGCTGGCAAGGGCTTCCTGTTGCTGGATCTGATTGAAGGAGATGATCCACGTAGCTGTGAGTGCGTGTGGTGTTTCTGAATCCCTGCCTACTGCTTCGAACGGTTCGCTCAGCTGATTCACTAACCCGGCTTCGCTTTCCTCCAGAATTTGGAGGTACCTGGGAACCGAGATGCTGTTCTCTTGCATGAACGCAGCGGCCTGCGCGAGAGCTAGCGGTAGATGCTCAAGGCGAGAGGAGAGGATCGATATTTCCTCAGCAGAAATCTCGTCATCCAGTATTCTGTGTATGAGCTGATTCGTCTCACCCTCAATCATCTCTTCCACTTCAATAAGTGATTTCCCTCGCACAATCCTTGATGCTACCTGCTTATTCCTTGTAGTAATGAGAACTGACCCGTGGCTACACTCGGGAATGTAGCGGCCAAGGCCAACTTTTAGGTTAGCCAGTTGATGTGTGTTGGCGCTGCCACTCTCAGAAGGTGGCGGGAAGAAAAGGTGCGTATCATCAGCGTTATCAATGACCATAAGCCACCGGCCACAATCCGGTCTCTCAAGCCAAGTTCTCAGAAGCGTTAGCACATCAGCTTTAGGATCATCATGCCCGGGACGCCACATTCTTGGGCAATATAAGAATAAGATTGGCGAAACCGGTCTGCATTGCTTGCGTGGACCCAAAACACTGATAGATCCGGGCGCGCATCTTGCAGCCAGAACACATAAGCGAGAGCAATCTGCGTTTTCCTGCACGAGGTCAGACAATGCCAGAATCACAAGTGGCAGCTCACAGTACCCAATACCGCCAAGGCCATAAAGAGCAACTCTCGACCTCGGTTTAGTAAGCTGATCTTGGTACTGTTCATGTCCAAAGAAGCCTTTGATTTGATCAAGTACTCCGATTCGCTCAATAAAATCCGGATTTTCGCCATACGGAACGAGGACTAAGTCTGTTCGTCAGTGAAGGCCATATAACTGGGAAGGCTACCTACACCATGTATGAGGAGCTTTTGGCGTGTCGAGTTGCGTGTATTGTTCGAGGAGTGCTTTCGTTGTCGAAGCCGCTGTTGCTGCGGCAAAATGCTGCCATTTTTTGTTCTTGTGGCTGTCCGCGTAGTCGCAGACTGCTTTCACAACGATACACGGAACTTCGTCCCATACGCCGGCTCCCTCCATCTCGAAGGCGACAAGCCCGTGCTCTCTAGCGATCCTGTCGCGATCTAGCCCGGCCTTCATTACGGTGTCGGCTGATCCCACGCGTCCAATCAGAACGCGAAGCTCTTGTGTTGCCGTGGCATTTCCTGCTTCCTGCGTTTTCTGCGCCTCGAGACGGTCCCTGGGTACAAGACGCGAGAAGTCGCAATGAAGTTCCTCGCACGAAGCGGCAAGTGCCCCCTCACATGCACCCGACAAGCTACAGCCACACAGGCTCGAGTCGCGGTGTCTATGGAGATAGCCTGGCTCGAAGAGGCGGTCCTCTGTTGCAACAGGACGTTTGTACAGGTTTCGGTGCACATCACTTGCCCTTTGCTGAACTTGCTCTAGGACTTGGCTGGCTCGATGCTGTAGGCGAGTGCGGCCATGATGCGTCTGGAAAGTCGCAACAAGAGAACGGACTTCCCTACTAGGCCTCCCTAGGCTTTCTTCGACAGTATCTTTCGGTTCGAACCTATCAGGATACTTCCGGCCCAGGTCGTACTGCAAAACGCTCTTGCTAATGACCACATCCCCGAGCAGGAGCTCGTTATCGGTCCCGGGGCTGGGTACTCCACCACAAATGCCAGCCAAGATGGCCAGCTTGATTCCGGTGTAGCGTGACTGAAGCCTGGCCGCTGCGCTTGCTGCGTGAGCCTTGCCCATGCCAGGGAGGAGAAGCAGAACGACGTTGTGCCTTCCGATCCGGCCGGTCGTGTACACGTTGCCGTCTCCCTGTGCGCTTCCCGGCTGACCTTTGTCATCTTCCCATATCTCATCGAAAGCGAAGGCGACGGCATCGTATTCGAGGGGTAGCGCGCATATAACTGCGATCTGGAAGTCCTCGCGCTGGCGAGCTCGCGTGCGGCCAGTCATGACAGATCGGGGATGATACGTGCCGTTAAGCGAAGATTTGTTTGGTGGATGTCTACATTTAATTCAGGCGCTCTGAGCTCAACGTCGGGATGTGTCAGAATCAGGCTGGCGTTACGTTGGGGAAGCCGATTGGTTCATCTCGTCAGCCGTGCCGCACCAATGTCTTTCTGCCTGTCAGTCATGATGGTGGAGCACTTCTGCACGCAGGTCATTATCATTGATTGTTTGATACATCGTTCCAGAATGCTGGCTGCGGCAATCCCAGGCTGCACAGTACACTTGTCCATGATTGCCTTTTTCTTCTTTTTTCCCCGTGAGTTCGAGTGCATCTCTCAATTAAGGCCGTGGCCATGACTAAACGATAATATATGGAAATGAGTAAGGCATCATGCTGTAGTTGATTGATTCTTGTTGGAGCGTAATGGCTCCACAGCCAATGATAAGGTGTGAGAGCTAAACTTGGGTCCGAAGTAGGTGATCAACTATAAAGTCTTTTCCGATCCGTCAAAGTATCCCACAGCAGGGACCGCCAATGCTCATGCCCAGGCCAGAGGGCGACAACTAAGTAGACACGCACTCAAGCTATTCAAGAGGCAAATGTGTTTATCCTGAGTCGGTTTTGGCAGAAGGTGTAGAGACGCTATTACTAAAAAAGGCTGACAGTAAACCAGGTAAAAGCGCAGAGTAGGTGCCTGCTTTTGTATGGTCTAACCGCATCTTCATGAGAAGAGCTACCTTCAGCTTGCTCTCCCAGCTACTTGCTAGGCAATTCCGATGTTCAAGAAGCGGGCGCCTATATCAATTACTACAGTATAGCAGGTTAAGCATGCCAATACTCGGCCCAACTAGTCCCGCCAGCCCGTTTAGGAAAGCTGGGTGTTTATGATTGGTCGTTTGTACAAAACGGAAAGGGGCATTCTTGTTGCTTTTTCGTATTGTTGGGGATTATGAAGGGCCTTCTTTAAATACTAGGATTTACGCTTAGCCGTAGCGCAATGCCAATGGCACATCGGAGGTGTCGTTGATTGCAGGAAGAGAAGACTGTCGACCCGTCTTTGGAGCGGAGTCGTTGAGACGTTGGAATTAAGGATGCGGCGGTGGTCAGTGCGCACCACCACCCGTCTTTCACTCCCCCCTTCCCAACTCCCGTCTTCAACCCTTTTCGTACTTCATACACTTCAGCTGGTAAAAAACCTCACAGCAGTCCCGGATTGCAACCAAATCTAGCCGGTCATGGCCGGGGAATATCCACAATCATGCACCGCACTTCATCGCAGTTGCCGCCGACGCGCAGCTGATTATGCCTGCCCATGTCCTCGTCCCCCGCGGAGAGCAAATCAGGTCCATCTTTTACCAGATCAAGCGTCGCCGTGCCGTCACGGGCTGAGTTCGACGCAGCCAAGGGTTCCATCTCGGAGAGAAATAATCAAGAGCCGAACTTTTCCCACTCGACATACGATACGAGAACCAACTTCGTGCTCTGACCGGTTCTCACCCCGGTCTAATTCCTCTCTGTACGCCCTACGCCCCCTCCGTCAGCGGGAGCTTGCAACACAGGACAGGTTCCGCCATTGGTTCGACCCGAATCCAACCCTGTTGATGACTTGAATCCGGAGGGTGTCTGCGCTGCTGCTCCCGCCAGGCTTCTCGGCACCGTCCTCCGCGACAGGGCCGTCTTCCTGCAGGGCGTGCTGGTTTTGGTCTCGTCCATCACCACGGGACCTTCATCCATCCCAAGGCCCAACAAAAGGCCCCAGACCGACATTTACAGTTGCAATATTCCCTTACCTGCATACCCCGCATCATACAGGACGATGCTCCCCGGACCTGGGGAAGCATTGAGGCTGGTGTCCTTAACGTCCGACTCCACCTATCACGCCGGCCGTCTATGCCGTCGGCCGTCTGCCTCCGGACAGACGCATTGAGCCAAGCGTCACCCACGAACAACACTCGCCCGATCTGACGTTGCGGGAACTAGTAGCCTTGGCCCAGCCCCCGTACGAGCCAAGCCCCCTTAGCTGTCATGAGCATGGTCCTCGCTCCAGCCGTGCCCTCATGCATGTCTTTCCCTCCACCAGGCCTTTTCCGTGGCACTTCGGTAAGCTTGTCCGCCCACCTCACCCCCCGATGCCGACAGTAACCATGCGTCCGCAGTTGCCTTATGTTGGGTTGGGTTGGCTCGCTGATCCGGCCGACTTTCGTGGATGACAGCAGGTCAATCCCCCTCAGGTAGGATAATCCGGGGGTCCCAACGCATGCTACCATGGTTCCATGGGTGACACAAGGTTATATGAATGGTTCTTCGGGAACTTTGGTGCTTAAGCTCGATACCACGCTCCCCATGATTTATCCATCTCCCGGGCTGGAGTAAAAGTCGGGACGGCGTCACACCGTCCAAGTTCTCAACCACCGTGTAACATCTGATGCAGTCGCTTTACGCGGGGACGGCTACGATGTTCAGGTGCTTTGCACAGAGTACGGGTCCGCGTAAAACGTTGGATGGGTGTTAGCCGAGACAGGAGACGCGGGCGAAGTCTTTTCTTTTTGGCCTTCGCATCCCCGTTCGGTTCCACGGTGTGACGCGGAGTTTCTGTAGCGTGAACTACCGTGGCTGCCACAGATTGTCTCTTTTGCCTGCTTGGTCTAGATGCGCACAGCCGAGAGACCTTGGGCCACCGTCACATGAAGTCTCGCGGCCTTGTCCGGACCGTCGTCGAAGGCATATCCCTCCGTGAATATCGCGTCTCTGTGTACCGGGCTAGCTCGGCATTCCTGCGTGGCAATGCTACGCTGATGTCTGAGGTCTCCAGGGACACGCGGTATGGTTACTGGACGTCGTGGCTTATGGCCGATCTGGAGGACGCGGATCTGTACAACGCGGGCGTCTCCCAGAGGTGGCACCGCAGAGCTAGCATCGCATGCTCGAGGGGGCGATCCAGTCGAGCAGGAGCGGGGAGGTGGCATCCGTTCTCGACCAGTGGCTTGCTAAGTTGTCCCTGCGGCTGGTTGATCCCAACCGACGGGACCCGTCATCTCGTCTCATCACGTCTGGCCGAGTAGCATCACGCTGAGTCCCCGTTCCACCGATATGCAAGCCAACTGCCACCAGCGCCAGCAGGCGCGATGTACCGGGGACCTGTCTGTCAGGAAGATTACCTTTCCCCTCAGGAACCGATCCCCCTCCATTCAGGCGGAAGACGGTGCTACACAGGACTGCAACATGCAAAAGTGCCACGGCCGGCGGTGATGGATTCTCGGTAGCCGCCAGTCACGTCGACAAGGGCCATCAGCCCACGGGACAGAACATGCCATCTCGTCAACCCCAACGCCTCATTACCTGAGTGAGCCCAGCAGGCCGACGACATTCCGGCTGGTTCGTTGCTGCTGCCGGTGCCTTTTGCCTATCCAAAGTAGATCCGGCGTCGCACCGCTTCTGTAACATCGTCGACATTACCGGCGTGGAAGAAATAGCCTCAATGTCGCAGGATGGCGGAAACCAACCCAAAACATGCCCGCTCCTCATCGAGTAAACCCACCCCATGGAGGGAGGAGGCCTCAACGGCTTGGCACCACTGGCCCGGCACTGCGGTCAGCAGCAGCAGCAGTTAGCAGTAGCAGCAGTCGGGCGAGCGCGAGATCACGGCATTGCCCGCTGAAACCGGGTCGAGCAAAGTTGAAATAGGCGGGACTTCTGCGACGGGGCAAACAAAAGTCGAGGTCCCTTTCCCTTCATCTCGCCCGGGTTCCAAGATTCCCCGGGCCACGTCCGCTCAGAAGAAGCCCGGCGAAAGTTAAGGGAAGGGAAAAGGGGAATGGCAAGCGGATGGGAAGGGGGCCAACCACGTCCCAGGACATGGCGCGCTTTCGGCCGGGCCGCCCCCCGCTCCTTTTCGACGTCTGCATACCCGGGAGGCCACGCGGGGGGGTTCGGCGGAGGTGGGCGCCGTGCCCCCCCTCCTCCAAAACCGTCGTTTCAAATTGTCACTCGGCTGAAGTTACCCGTGACTCGGAGAAAATCACAATAAAAAAACCATAACTCGTTGAACCCATGGGGGCCAGTAGCGCGGGGCACTCCGTGCTCGCGATAGTTCGCGCCGCCGGGTTTCTGAAGGGTGTGCGGTTCCAGTTGGGTTAAAGAATCGCCGCCCGCGAACCAACTTGCATAAGCGACGCGGGCTACATGGCATGGGGATGGCATGGCGCATGGGTGGTGCCTAACGAAACCAAGGGTGCAAGCCGCCCTGGCTTGCGCCGTCTCGGATATTTGCTTTTCTGCCGCTTTCCCTGCGGTGTTGCCCAGTCGCCGCCCTTTCCGCCATGTTCCCTGGCTTCAACACCGCACCAAGAGCATAGTCAGACCCGCTCCGGGAACCCGTGACAATGTCAACAGTGAGCTCTGGTTCCCTGGTTCGACGTGATGTACCGAAGGCGAGGGCATGCAAAGATGGACATGTGTGCACCAATACTGGGTCTGAAGACTCTCATACCAATCAAGTAGTCAATTCAAAAAGTCATACGTTTGTGGGGGTATTATCTGAACAAGAGACAACCGAGAACCAGGCCGTTTGTGCACCGAGAGAGAGAGAGAGAGAGAGCGCAAGAGTGGAAGAAGAAATCCCTATATGTATTGGGAGGGAAGTAATCCGAAAAGTATGTGCATGTTTTCGAAGAGAAAAAGACAGGATGTGAAAGCCAGTGTCGTCAGCACATGACAAGAAGAATAACAACATGAAAAACAGCCGCAAAAGAGTCGTGTCGTTGAGCAGCGCGCTCGCCCATTCTAAAACAAGAAAAATCAAATGTCCCGTCCCCTTCCCAAAAAAAAACAAGGCCTGCCTTCCCCAATGTCATCTCCCTTCCTTTCCTTGCTTTGCTCCAGGGTATCTTTTGACCATCCTTTCCAAATATGGTCTTGTAGGGATTTTTTTTTTTTTGGTATAATTTTTGCAGCTTTTTTCTCTCTCTTTTTTCAAAACTTATGCCGTGCTTCCGTATGCCGCGGTTCCGGGTGCGGGTCCGACCGGCGCTCCGCCCGAGTAGCTTCTCTCCCTCTTGAGGGCGGCAAAGTCGCGGCTGTAGTCATCTGCGCGCTGCTGCTGTTGGTACTCGCTGCTGCTGGCCGACTGGCTCTCGTGGTGCGAGGACATGGGTCCTCCGCCGCCGCCGAAAGTGTCGCGCATGGGGTCCTCGTGTTGGAAGAGCTCATGCTGGCGTGGAAGGCCTGCGAGAAGTCGTGGGGTGCGGCAATCGGCGCGCTCATCTGAGGCATCGAGTAGTCATGAACGCCGCCGGGTCGGGCTCCAGGGGTGCGCGGCAGGGAGAAGTCGACAGGCGCCGTGAGCGGGGCCGAGGGGAAGCTGGAGGTGTAGGCGGAAGTGGTGGCGAACTGGGCCGAGGCGCTACGCGGGGCGGATCCGTGGCTGGGAGGCGGCACTGAGCCGACAGAACGGTACTGGTTGCGAAGGTCGAGGCCGAGAGTGCCGGACGAGGCACGGCTACGGAGGCGGGATGGCGGACCCTGAGGGAAGCTCGAGTAGTTCATGCCCGGAGGCGAGCTGGTGGTGTCTATGTGATTGTTAGCGTCAGGTAGCGGCGGCAAGAGACGATGGGACCTACTGGAGTATGAGCCCGACTCGTAGGGGAGACCACTGCTCGATGGGCCGTTCATATGCTCGGGCTGGTAGACTGATTGTTGTCTTCCGCTGAGCTGCGGGCTTCCACCGGCGCCGTGGTGGTACGTGTTGTAGTCAATGGCATCGCCCTTCCAGGACATGCTGGAGCGGAGAGGAGACTGGATGTCCGATCGGGATCGGGACATGGTTTCCCTCAGCTGAAGGGGCTGGAGAGGTCGGCTCGGCTGGCCACGGTGCATGGACATGGAGTTCTCGAGGGCACCCTGTCGCGCAAAGGGGTTGGAAGTCCGGGGGCCGGGGCCCATGGGTGAGAGATGGCTGCCGTATCCATAGCGGTGGTCGCCGGTCGAGTTGGGCGTCATGGGAGACAAGATGTCGGGGCTGCTCATGTTTCCTGGCGGGGTGAAGCCAATGCTTCCAAAGCCGGGGCTCAGACCGGCCGACGACATGTGGTCATCTCCACCCTCCGCCCTTCGGACGTCGACCATCAGGGGTCGGATCATGTGGTCGGCGTACGACTGCGTTCCAAAGTTCATGGGCGATGACAGAGGGGTGTTGAGGCCGTGGACGGCTCCGTAGGGGGAGTGAAGTGCCTGGACGTTGTCAAAGTCGTCAGGGACAGCGCGCATCTTGATCATGCGGTCCCGGTCGTCAGCTGTGAGACGCTTAATCTTGGCGCGGCTGGATGGGGTCATGAATTAGTTTCTGGTTGTCTCTCGGATAAGCTACGACCAAGACTCACCGGTTCTGGAACCAGACTTGGACTTGGCGGGGGCTCAAACCAGGAATCTCCCTAGACAGACGCTCTCTGTGGGCAGCATCGGGGTGCGGTTGCTTGGCGAACTCGCTCATCAAGAACCGTGTCTGCTGGTGCGTGAGACTGTCTTCCATGTTAGCGGTCAGGTTTCCGTGAGGTTCTCTTCATGGTTCACCAACCGGAATCGCTTCATCTTCCTCCGTGCCGCCGTGCGCTCAGCAGCAGTCTGGGGTGTGCCCTCGCCGTCGTCAAGCATATCATCATCGTCCAGCATGTCGTCGTCCTCCTCTTTGCTCAGGTTCGCCTCGTCGTTATCCATGTGAGCCGCGGCCGTCTCGGCCTCTTGCTCCGTTGGGGTCATCGTCTGGCCTTGCATCTCTGTCGAGGCCGCCCTCTCCTGAGGTGCCATCTCTGTGTACTTGTTTGAGGATTGCGATGCCTGTCGCTGTTCTTGTTGCTGCTGTCGCTGCCTGTCCTCAGGCTCGTCCTCCGGGGTAGGCTGCTTTACTTGGCGGAGGCCGAGGGGGTCTGCTGTTCCACGGCTGCTCAAGCCGGTGTTGGGCTCCTGCTTGGTTTGGATCTCTGCTTGTGTTGGTGTGCCGGCTGTAGTGCGAGGTTGCGAGGCTTCCGAAGTCTCATTACCAGCTCCGTACGCCTGGGAGAAGACGTTATTCTCAGAGCCGGAGAGATAAGAGTACTGCTGTCCCTGCCACTCGGGAGGCGTCGGCAAGGTGGTTTCGAACTGGTTCGACATGCGTGGAGGTGTGGTAGGTGGCTTGTGAAGGGGAGTCTCAAACTTGCTATATGACCAGTGGCTCTGCTCGGGGGTATCAAACTGCCTGGTAGCAAGCATTGGGAATGGTGATGGGGTTTCGGTTTTTTGGTATATTTGTCTTGTTCCGTACGGATTCAGAGACGGCTTGGGTCTCTAGGAGATCCTGGAATAGCTGGACCTAGGACAGACGGGTGTGTTTGGGGAAGGAGTGTCGTTGTCGAAGGGAGTGGTGATGTCCGGATTCAGAGGAGACAACGGCGCATCACAGGACGGTAGGCTGATCCAAGAAAGCTCCAGTATCTCTTGGAGAAGCTAGTCGTGATGTTGGTCGTGGTCTGGATGAACCGAGAGTATAGGACAAGGGCAACCGATAGTGACAATATACGGCACTCGAGGTTGATGATTCGGAATGATTGATGGAAAGCAAGGCAAAGGCTAGCTTAGATTGAGGTCGTAAGGTCTAGGTCTCTGGCCTTAAGTTGGGGCCGAGACAGATCTTAAGCAACTTAATCAAAAGAGAGAGAGAGGTGTAGGGTGATGTGTTGATGCGTCAAGTCGATTTGGGAAAAGGAAGAGAAGCTGATGAAAAAGGGAAAGAGGACTTGGCTACCCCAGGTCCCACGAGGTAGGATCGATCATATATTGTATAAATTTGAGGGTGTGCCGACTGATTAGTATGGCGGGGTCGATCGACTGGGAGGCGTTACTGGGCCTGGAACTGACAGGGCCCGTCGTGTATGGCAAGTCTGAAGGATACCCGCGGTTGCAATAAGGCAGCACGGTTGGGAAACCCTTGCTTCTTAGTATGGCAGAGGTGGAATTAATACCGAAGGGTACAGCCATCCACACGGAGAAATGTCGAGGCTGGATCCGGACAGGACTCTTGGAGGAGGGCCAGCACGGGCAGCTGCGGCCACGATGGGGACAACGGCTCACCCAACTTGGGTCGAGGAGCCCGGTACCTGACTGATGGTGTCGAGGAGGACGAGGGGGGGTACGGCGGTACTCTGTACAGGCGCAGTGGAGAAGACAGCTTCAAAGGGGACCCGATGCATGGTTTAAGGCTCGCCGACTCAAGAGAAAAGCCGCAGCACCAGCTCATGTGCCATGCCATGCCATGCCAGGCGGGTAGGCATGCCATGGTGTCGAGCTTGCTCCTCCTCGCCGCCGCCGCCGCTGCTGCTGGCAGGCCCCCAGGTCCCAGGCCCCGGGCGTGGACATGGGTGCGGATTGTTAGATGTGGATATGGGTTGACGGGGGAAGGGTAGGGGGAGGGATAGACAGGAACAGTCGGGGGGGGCCAGCATCCATTGTGTCGTTGCAAGATGCTCTGCTGAGCCACATACGCATCTGTGCGTGTGTACATCAGGTAAGGGTGGTGATATTTCTGTCCACCAACGTCTCCTCCCGGTTCCAAAGGGAACGAGAAAAACCCTAGGCAAAGCCCGGGGGGCTGTTCAGCGTGAGAGTGACAGACGGACGGACGGACGATGATAGAAACTATACCACACATGCCCATGGCGTTAAGATGCTCGGCTGAATGGCTAATGCCGCGCGATGATGACACTGGAACCAGGCCATCCAGCTTGACATGGCGCGACCTGGCCCGTGAGTGGAAAGCTTCCAGATTAAGACGATAGATTTCTTGCAGCGCAGCAGCAGAGCAGACGACGCCCCGGCGAGACGGGGTCACCTTGCCTCAAGAGTACTGAACAGGCAGGCCGTTGTTGACGCCTGAATCAGTCGGTACAGAACCAGGTGGGCGGTTTTGCAGAGAGTGAGACAGGGTCGAACGGGGGGCTTCCCTTTCGTCCCCTTGCAGCGGCCGCAGCCAGAGAGCTACCTAGACTCAGGAACCAGCTCACACTCAGGCACAGGCATTGGCATTGGTATTGGCATGGCATGTTGTATCTCAGGCACGGTCGAAGGACGTGGGTGGCCCCGATAAAAAAAAAAAAAGGTCGATACGGAGGGATCTCCCGCGTCCAAGGGAACCGAACCCGGTGTGATTGCACAGGACAGCAGCCAACCCCGACGTCAAACCCACCGGGGCGAGACAGCCGGGCAGACGAGCCCTTGCCTCGACACGGCCTCAGAGCGAAAAGGTGCCCGGAGAAGAAAGAAATCAAGGAGCGAGAGAGCATCTCGGCTGGGATATCGAGGTGCCGCTCATTGGCCTCTGTGACATTAGCTCTGTATCGACTCCACGGATGAACGCATGACCGTTGTCGAGCAGCCCGGCCGAGGCCACGCCCAATGGGAAAGATCATCGATCAAGGGGAGGGGGGAGGGAAGGACAGGTGCGGTGGCTCTCGCTCGCTTTCTGACTACGGCGATTCTTCCCACTGCGGGTACCAAATGTCTGAGGAGGCTGCGGGGGAGGGTGTGGGAGGAAGCGGGACGGCGGTGGGAGGGTACGGTGTGCGGTTATTGAGTTGGCCAGCGAAAGAACAAGGGTCGGGAAATCTGGTGGGGGAGGAGAGAGAGAGAGAGCGAGTGTGTGTGTGTGTGTGTGTGTGTGAGTGTGAGAGGGAAGCGAGCAAGGATGGCGGTAGTGTGTCAGTGGCAGGGGGAGGCACGAGAGTCAAGGCGAACCGTCTTTTCGCGCGATACGGCGTACAATACGAAGGACCAGCAGCAGAAGCAGCATTGCGTATGTGGAATGTGGTGAAAGAGACTTACTTCTCTGGCTGACCGACGGCAAACCCTCGACGACGTCGATGGATGATGGGCCGAGGATTATGGAGACGACGGAGACGCAGGCGAGGCAGGGGACGAGAACGGGGAACAGCTACGGCTACGGACACAGCAATGGGCGACGGATAGTTCCCCACCCCTGGCGCGTTGCCTTTCTGGCGAGGCAAGGGGCGAAGAGGCAGAATGAGCAGATCCCCAGACGTCGACGTCGTCCCGCTCGTCGAGGGCCTTTGTGCCTAAGCACGACGACCACGGCGACGGCGACCCTCTCTCTGTCTCTATCCCTCCCTCCTTGGAGAGTGTGTCCACGCGGTGAAAAGGGGGGGGGGGGGGGGGGAGCAACGGCGCTCCCGAGGCGATGGTGAGGGAGAGAACAGCACGCCATGTGGGATCGTGTATTATGTACGCACTCACCATCTGGGGCCCGTCCTGTACAGCCATGTTTTAGAAGAGAACAGAAACAGGAACGCGCATGTGTCTCTCCTGCACGTTGCGTGCAGAGGCACGCAGAGATGGGACGAGCTCCAAGGTGCCCGGGGAGACAAAAAAAAAAAAAGAAGAGACTCAGGAGTGAGGAGGACACCCCCACAGGAAAGAAAGCATGTTCACGCTCCGGCTCCACGTCCACCACCCAGGGAGAGCGATTCTCGAAGCCGGCGGCTCCACCATGAGCAACAGCGGCAGCAAGGAGCTGTCCGTCAAAGTTGTCATCGGGTACAGCAGAGTCAAGGAGGTTCGGTCCACTTGCAATCTTGCGCACATCGGTACCTTGACCTGTGCCGTGTTGCAAGACGAGTCCGATGAGTGATTTCTCCGTGGGACAACAGTCGACTGACCCGGCGAGCGGTGGATTCTGCCTCTGCCTCTCTCTCTGTCTCTCCCTCTCTCTTTCGCGCGCGCGACAAACCGCTCGTGTTTGGTTTGCCCTGTCCTCGAACTGAGGCGCGTTTTAAGCTCACCTTCCGGCGTCGGAAGCGCCTGCCGCCATCAAGGGAAACTGGGAACCAAACGAAGCGGTCAGATTAGCCTCCGGCATGTTTGTATTCGCGTGCGTCTACTTTGGTACGACACGACATAAGAGGCCGGCACCGTCTCCCACCTCCCCCCCAGGGTCCAGCTGTACACTACGTGCCCAGACGAGATTGATTAGTTCCCCGTAGCTTCTTTCTCTGACAGCACGGCACTTGAAATTTGAATCTGGGCCCAAGAGGGCGTGCGTGCGAAACCGCCCACGGGCCCTCTGCCCCGGGACGTCCGCGCATCCCCACGTGCCTGTGATTCGATCGGAGCCAGGCCTCGAGATGAAAAAAGAAGGAAAAAAAGAGGGTTCGGAAAAGGAATCGCTGGTGAAGGCCTGGTTCGATTTCATCTATGCCAGGCTGAAGAGGCGCCAAGCTCGTCAATGCCGTCGTCGACGTGGAGGGACTGCGAACGACGGGCGTCAGGGCCGTGAGCAAGGGCTCCCGGTCCTTTGCACGGCGAGACTGTTCCCCGCCAGCGGCGGCACAGAGATGGAAAGGCAAGTGAGAGAGAGAGACACACACACACAGAGAGAGAAACCACTCCAGGTAGAGTACCCGGCCAGGGTCTTTGCAGCGGGCATTGTGAAATGCGCATGCGCCGTGATAGGTGGTCTTCTGGCGTTACGTACACAAGGTTTGGCCCAAGGCATCTGGTACGTTCCATCAAGGGGGGGCCCATTACCATTAGGGAACCCATCCAAGGAATTCCGAAAAGAGCACGACCGCGGCGCGCTGCATTGTCGACGAGACCCAAGCAGAGAGCGAGAGAGAGAGAGCAAGGAGCAGTGGGCTAAGAAAAGGTAGCGTTGCAGCGGGCGATGCGATGGATGGGGTTGGATGGGTAAGGGTATGGGGGCAGTTGGAACGCTGCCCGAACGAGCCGTAGGCTGAAGTGCTGTGATGGGATGCGAGGGCGATGCGATTTCTCCCGCCCTTCTTCGGTGGGGTCGCGGTGCAACTCGTCCGCCCGCCCCTACGACCGACGGCACCCGGCCTGTTCGTCAAGGTACCGAACCTGCCGATCACCTTTTGTTCCCTTGAGTATAGTGTACAGGTACTGCGCGCGCACTCGCTGAAGAGGTCGAGAACACCCAATCGCTCGTGTGCCGGGGGAGGGGAGATGGGTGGCCCTCTCAGAACCAGGCCCTGAGATTAAGAATAGTCATCTCATCCTCCCCTTTGGCGGGAGCAAGATTCTGTGCAGGACCGCTAACTCAAGTTTGTAGAACCAAGCATGACGACACAGCATGACTATTTACGTCCGGCAACTCTCTTGTCATCGGATGAAAGGCCGTCAACTCATGTTCCATATGTAGTGCCATGGCGTGCCACGCTTAGCATAGTACATAGCACAGGAACTCGTGGTCCCCTCTTTTTTCTTTATTTTATTTTCGTCGTCTTTCGTAATCGTAGTCGTAGCGTGCCGTGTTGTACCTGTAGTCCTCCTCCTTCACGGGAACAGATGCGGCGGCGGAGTGACGGGGCTCGGATCCAAGGAGGCTGGCCAACCGAGCCTGGAAGGAAAGAAAATGGCAAACGAACAGGAAGATCTCTGCAAAGGGACGGGCCAAGCGACGAACCAGAGGCCTTCCCTGGCCGCCGGGGGGGGGGGAACACATCATTCGCGCTCTCTCGTCTCCCTCACACTTCACTCACTCACATCACATCTCGCCAACAACACCGGGCAGGAGGACCCAAGGGCAAGGGTGGGGGGGGCGTGGCAGTAGATATCAACGCGCTGATGATGGCCCGCGTCGCTCTGCTGCTGCAGTGTACCACTGCATTGCACTTGCTTGGTGCGCTGAGCTGCGTGCAGACAGCCCTCCTTCGTTGCTTCTTCTGCTTGCTGCTGCCGCCAAATGTCCGTGCCCAGATTTGGCCGTAGAAGGCTTCCATCTGGCATCCTCCGGCCAGGGAGACGAACCGTGGTTTCATCCCATGCCGGGGTGGTCCTGTAGCCCAGGCCCGCTGTTGGGCGGGAGAGAGCAAATCACGCGTAGGGATCTCCTCGTCATTGTCCAGGGGTAACGGGTAATCATGGCCAGTCACACACACCACACGCACGCTCTTCCTCTCAGTCTCTCTCTCTTTCTTAGTCTTCGTGTCGCTGCTCGTCCCCGCGGACAGCGTGAGGCAGGGGTGGGCATGATGGTGCGGACAGGGAGCCTGCTCACATCACCCGTCGTCCTCTCTGCGGCCGATGTGGTGATGAGGGGGGGATGCGACGCTCGATGCGATGAGAAAAAAAGACACCGCCCAAGACATGCACAAGAGACATCACAAGACACGGCGAGACTGTACGTGGCGGAATAAGCGAGCACCTCTGCCTACATGGCCCTTGCCCCCCCTCCCTTCTACGGATGACGCTGCCAGCCCATCTATTCCGTACCGTACGTGTAGAATATCTGTAAGGATGGCCCCGAGGCAAGACAAGACAAGACGAGGCGAGACACAGCGCAGGCCCGGGTTTGTGCGTGACTTCACGACAATCTCCGCCCCCACCTTTTTGCTTGCTTTCCCATCGCCAGACCTGGGTGTTTTGGTCGTCCCGGAAGCTCAGCATGATGAGATGACAAGTCTTGGGGGAACCGTCTAGAGTTGCACCCAGGACCGGCTGCTGAACGAGCAAAGCAGGAGCCAAGCAAAAAGCGAGTAAGAACCTCGAGCGAGTGGAGGAAAGGGGGGAGGGAAGGGCCGAGTTCCAGCCCGCTGACGCGCCCAAGCAGTATTCGTTGCACGATGTCTGTGACCTCTCTTGCTTTTTGCGAATCATTTCTCATGATGGGCGGTCCTAATTTTTTTTTCTGCCTTTCTTCGTTCTTCCTTACCCTCAGACGCCTTCCCCCTGACGCGTCGTCGGCCTCGCCTCGCCTCACACACGCTACCTGGCTCTCGTCATCGGGACGCAAACCGACAGAATGGCCAAACGCCAACGTGGGCTGGCACGGGTGGATCGGTCGTGCAGCGACCGGGTCCTCTAATTTCAGTCGCAGGAAGAGGTGGGAATCATCTCCGGTCGCCGCCGAGCCCATACAGGAAACCGCTCGTGGGCACACGGCCGGCACTGGCTTTGCAGGGCCCAGAGGCGACATGAACAGGAACCTGGGAGGGGAGTGGATAGGAAGAGAGAGAGAGAGAGAGAGAGGAAATCCTTTCCTTGCTGCTGCCGCCGATGCGTATGCGTTTCCCAAAAAACTTTCGCCCACCGTCCAACCGGCGGGGGGACCTTGGGTGCCATGCCTGCGTTGATCCCGAGGACATCTCGAGATGAGAGGAACGGGTGATGGGCGTCGGGTATCAGGCGCATCAGGTTCATCCATGAGACACGGGATGGGGGCTCACGGACGCCACGTCCGTCAATGCAAGCTTCTGCTTGCTCGCCCTTTGCCGTTTCTTGCTTGCTTTACCCGCCTGCTTGATGCAGCCGTGCCGATCAGCTTGTTTGCCCGTCGCGTATGCTTCGAGAGAAAGGGTGACGGGCGGGCGGGAGGGCAGCGAGACGCGGCCAGGAACAAGGGCCCCGAGGCTTTCGATCGGGTCATTGGTGATCGCAGACAATCACCATCCATCCACACACGGAGGGCTCAACTGGGCGCTGCGGTGTACACTACACATACACACAGACACACGACCATGCAAGCCACTCGCCAGCCGTTGCAAGCAGCCCGTCCACGGGCTACCCGAAGTCCCCGTCACAAAAGCCCAGGGTACTTGAATCGAGCAGGAACAGAACAAGCGCCGGCTCCAAAAAAGGTCAAATGGGAGAGAGAAAGAGAGAGAAGGGGGAGCAGAATAGCGCCAAATCTACCGGCGCCCCGTCGTTTATTAACTTGACACAAGGGCCTGTTGGGCCATGCCTGGGACTTCCCAAAGATCTCTGAATCGCAGCCAGTCGCGCTAGAGAGATCCAACAGGTTCCGACAGCGCGGCAACCGTGGGGCCAGTCCAGCGAGCACTTCGTCCAAACTTGCCCTCCCGCGCCCTTCAGGTCGCGCGCGCGCGCAAATCACTTCGTCACAACTTGCCTCGCCAGTGTTCCCGGGAAGCGTCCGACGTCCCCCCCCCTCCACCCACCCCTTCACCTAACCACCCCCCAGGCTTGCTAGCTTGCCTTTGCGTACCTGCGTGATGACCATCGCCTCCCAGGGGTCTTGGCAAATCTCCAACCCACCTCAATCCAGCGAGGCGGGACTTTTGGCGTGTCTCACTTGCCATGCTTTGGGATTACAGGTGCATTGCTGATGGCATCGCGCGTTGTTGTTGGGGGGGGAACTTTGGATAATCTCACGCAAAAGTCTCGACTCGTCTGACAGGCTTGTCTCTTGACGTTGGGGCTGCAGGTCCAACTGCCACAGGCAAACAAAGTGGATTGCGGCAGTTGGAAACGGCATCAAACAGCAGCTTTTCTGAAGTACAGCACACTAGCAGGGAGCGACGACGTCGACGACGACACGGGCCGACAAAGGTCGTGTTGGCGAGACCAACGCAGCAAGACTTGGAGGCGGCAGTTGTTGGCCTGTACGTCCGTCCGTATAGAGACGGGGGCCAATACAACCAGTTTGTCCGACCTTGCGATCTGCAAAACAACGAGTTTGTTGTGCGTGTGTATTGCGTGTGTGATTCTCATGCAAACATGGATGCTGCAGCCCGCAACCACTTGCTTCTTTTTTCTTTCTTTTTTTTCTTTCGCAATTGCCCCCTCCTTCCGGCTTTCGCTTCCCGCTTCCCTTTCGTCGGGCCAACGAGATGTGCTGCATTCCACACTACATCGTCTGCAATCAGAAGG